GGTGATGCGAAATGAGTACATACTACTTTACAAAGAGGATCTTGCTTGTAAGAAGATCAAGACATTAACCGCTAAATTTCGATACCTTTTCATCGACTTTGTTCAAGAGTTTTATCCGACTTTCGCCATTAAAGCAACCTTGAGCTGATCATGATTGAAAAACTGACTCCCCATCTTCACAGTAGCTTGTTGAATCATCAAATCATTCACAACGGATAAACTCGCGTGATTCACTTCCAAATCCAATTCCTTAAGCGCGTCCATGAATCTAGCACCTGGATGATTCTTCTTGCTGCATTGTATACGTATCATAACATCCCAACCTATGATCTTCACATCAATCTCCATTTCTACAGAACTCGCGGAATCTTGATTCGAACATTTTCGCTCTTTCGCCCTTTTCCCGTTTCCTTCCTTACCCAACCCATCTAGCTGCTTCTGAATCTCTTCTTTATCGGATTCCGCTTGTTGCAGCTTCGATTTCAGCTCGTTGATATACGAAATGGCGTCTCCAAGTAGAGAAGCTTTATCCATTTTCGAAACGTTAGGAACCACAGCTCTCAAAGAGTAGAATTTCTGGTTTAGCTTCTCTCTTCTCTGCCTCTCTGCTTCAACATGATTCAATGGCTCTTCTCTTCCATTCGCCGGTTTCCTTCCCCGTTTCCTGGGTTTCTTCTCCGGTTCAACAACAATTGCTTCCTTAACAACCGATGCTTCGAGATCAGAATGATCCGAATCGCCGGATTTCGCTGCGGACCGGACCACAGTACTGAAAGAAAGCATTCCTTCGTCGTTGTTACTCCCTTTAGAAACCGGAGATCTCCTCTTGTTACTCTCCTCCGCCATAAAACTTAGCGATCCGTTCGATTTCTTCAACCCATCATGAAAGTTTCCGTTTTGATTCAACCCAGAACTCGAGAAATTCAAATCTCGCTCCACAATCGACGAATTTAGGGCTTTTTGTAACCTAGGGTTTTCAATCGAGCTCTCGTTCTTATCAAGCTTCGA